CAAGAATAGCAAATTGAGGTTTATGATAAAAGAGACGTGCCATCTTATTTAAAAAAAAAATAATCAAGATTTTGAATTGATAAAGTAAAACATTAAAAAAATTAGAAGTCAGAATAATAAATTTTCATATTCAAAATATGACTTACAAACTTCGAATATTTTAAGGAATTATATGTGACGCAAAGGTTTTAAAAGTAAGATTTGTTTAGTTTTGGCTTGCTTTATTATAAAAAATAGTTGCAGGCGATTTTTTTGTCAATATGTCATCAACATTATGAAAACATAATTATATATTTTGATAGAATGTGAATATGAATATTCTCTTCGGTAATACCTATTCACACGTTCTAAAAGTACCGAAAAGTAATTATCTTGTATAGACCCGTACTGTTTGTCTTATTAAGATTAAGAGAAGATACTACGACTTGTCATGGTTAGAGATGTTCGGGTAATAGTTTTAGTCTCGATCCGATCACCGAGATTATGAGAAAAAATTTTTCGAGTCCGAACTAAAAATTGTGGGTACATTTTCTCTGTTTTTTTAGTAAACAATATCAATCAGAGCAAAATTCAGAAGCGATGGTCAGAAAAGGTGATATTCTTCGACTGAATTAATCAAAACAGGAATATTTAAGTTTCTTTTTTTGGATTTAAGGTCACTCCTCAAAAAAGTCACTTTTTATGAGAATCACTGAAATTAAGATAAATGCAGAGGAAGATAGCCTGTGATCTAATCTCTCGTAAACGACAAAAATTTTTGAAGATTTCCATCATTCCCTATTCGAAAAATAAGCTGTTTTTGAAAAAAAACTGAAAACCTTTTTTGTTTTTTCTCATTTTTATAGGTTTTCAATCGTATCTCAAGAATTCTCGAAGGAACTTCATTGTAGCCAATAGTTTTCTTTTTTGTTTGAAAGAGCGTGTAAAACTGAAATGCCTATGCGAGCTCGTTTTGAGTCATTAAACCTTCGATCCCTTAAAAAGTAAGAGTTTTAAAAAAAGGCTCCCAGAGGCACTACATTCTGACATACTCTTTCAAACAAACAAAAAACAATATTAAATGCATAGACTACAGACCACAGAGAATTCCTGTAGACGAAATGAGCTATTTTTTGATCCTTGTTTGACCAATATCTCCCTTAAACGTAATGGTACAGGACTGAAAATTTTACTATAGCCTCCCCAATATATCCTGAAAATTTCATGCCATTCGAACGTTCATAGCCTGAGATCCATTTTTAATGGGAGGTGGCCTTAATGCGAATAAGTTCTGAAATAGTTTTCTCTAACACGAGGAAACTTCTTGAACTCATACCCACTGTTTGAGTTTCTATTAGATTTAAAAGAGCGCCTTTGTGAGACCAGCAAAAGTGTTTGTTTCTATGGACCTTTGAAACCGAGTTATGATCGTTTTACTGAATATTCGACCTGAAATTTTGCTCCTAAGCAGATCAAATGATCTGTAAAAAGATCTTGAAAATTTCAGCCGAAAATAATGTTCTTTTGTTGAGATATCGAATTTCTAAATAATAATCGTTTGCTTAAAAACTTCAAGTATTAATATCAGATCATAATAATGAAAATTTGTCTTTTTTTTTTTTTTTGTAGAAAACAATAATGAAATAAAATATTTACAGCAATACGTTGTTTTTCTCCACCTGAAAGTACATCCATCCAATCTTGTACACCATCAAAACCACCTTCTCGTTGTACTAAATATGTTAATTGAACTTTATCAAGTAATTCATTTAAATTATCATCTTTAATTCCTTTACGACGCATATCATAATATGAATCAGGATAAATAATTTGATCACGTAATGTACCAATTGTCATATATGGTTTTTGAGGTATATAAAATAAATGTCCACTACCTGGTTTTGTTAATGTTCCACTTGCAAGTGGCCATAACTATTATAAATAATAATTAGTATATATATATATATAGTTTAATTAATTAATTAATTATATTATTATTTACTTCACCAATTGTACGAAATAAACTTGATTTTCCACATCCATTTGGTCCAACAACAATAACATTTTGACCTGATTGTACTGTAAAATTAAGATTTTCAATTAAAACATCACCTATAACATAAATTTATCTTTTTTTATAAAATAATTTTTTTTTATCTATAAATTTCTTATTACCATTTGGTGTCATAAGTTTAACATTTTCAAATCTAAATATTTATTTTAGTTTTGTTTTTTTTTTTGATAAATAGATTTTTCTTTTTACTTTATAATTCCATCTTGTGTACGAATTCGTCCTTCATTATTTTTTGTATCCATTATTGTATTATTAATTCCCGTACGAACATAAATACCTTGATTGACATCTGATAGAACTCCAATTAAATCTGTTACACGTGTTGTAAAACTAATTAAAACAAATAAAATCTAATTTTTAAATATTAATTATTCGAATTTTTATTACCCAGTTAATTTTGTTAATTCACGACCAGCAAGAACCTAAGAAATCAATGATCTTTTCAATTTAATAATGATAATATAAACTTCTTACCAAACGACCCACAGCTAGAGATACAAAGAAATAATAAAAAATAGTCTTTATATTAAATGTTCAAATAACATACCTTCAGCAAGTCGCATAAGCATTCGACCAGATGAATAATAATCCTACAAAATTTCAAATACAGTCTACATTCAACTTCGAGTTTCCTATTAACGCAATCCTTGTGGGATTAAAATGTGAAACATAGAGGTCTGCAGGACAGTCCCAAACTTCGTTTGTCCCGTTCCGCGGAACTATCAAGAAAAAATCGATGTCTCGAATTTCCTAAATTCATATATTAGAATGCGTCGTAACTTTGAAACTTCTTATTTCTAAAAGAAATATTTTAGTATTTAAATAAATAACATTGCAGAAAAAACTACTATTAGGTGCCTTCAAATATGTTCACTAATAGACAAGTAAATTTTCATTAATATTTCAATATTTCATTTGATAAGTAACAAAATTATTAATTTCCTCTCCACTCATAGATGTTCTTGGATTGGTATTGTGCTGCCAATCATATGTATTAAAAGATAGTTAGCTTGTCTAATAACTATTTATATGAATACAAACTGCCTATTAGTGGTATAAAAAAAGATGTATTCTTCTTTGACACAACGATATTTTTGTATTGCTTCTGGGTCAAGGAAAATAACGAGATTTTACGGGACAGGATACGAAGGGAAATGATTATTACTAAGACGTCTGCGATATTTCCATGGTAATGTCTGTTACTCTCTTCGCAGAGACCTACGTTTCTATCGTACAGAAATAAAAATTTGTCTCCCTTCCCTTCCCGACTGTGACAGACGTTGATATATGATTTAAAAACCATATATCAATAATGTCTCGTAATAACATTATGAAGTAAGGTGATGGAAAAAGTTTAGCAACAACGTATTTTTTTTGAGTTTTTTTTCTATAATGTTAAACGCTCAACTTAAATTTAAATAGCAATTTTAATAGTCGATGGAGTTTTCTACCTAATGCATTCTATGCCGAGATTTCATAGATAAGCTACGATGGATGAGATTTTGAAAATATCGAGCACGGTAGTTTCCAGGTCCTACAAGACTATTTTTTAACA